GCGTCACGTATAAATATATTAACATAATTTAATATTTATTTATTTATTAGTTACCTCATTTGTCAAGTCCAGTAGTCCTATATGATCCTATGAGTCGCTTCTCGTCGTTTCATCTTCTCAAAGATATAGGTCCTTTTTAGTAATCGACGATTCGATCGCCAGAGTTGCGAACTGTTCCAACGTGATACGACAAGTCATGACAGGTTCATACCCGTCCTCTCACGTCCTCTGGCCGAATTCCGAAATTGCGAATCACGCGGATTTATATGCTCCCTTCAGTTTCGAACCCCACCACTCGCAGTCAACCAATGAGCGCGATGCGTCGTGATGCGGCGCGATGCTCTGCTACAAGCGCGTATTCAAACATTGATTGGATCACCGCTAGCTTTCTATTGAAGTATATAAAGCGCGACGCGCAAAATTTTCAGTAAATTTTTCAGTAATTTTTTTGAAACACATTCTGAATATAGGCTAGAAACTATATTCGTATTTATGAAAATTAAATACCCTTTTGAATGAATAAGCAGGCTTCTCTCAGCTGCAATATCGATGGATAGTATGCGCGATTTCGATGTATCGATGCAGCTTTAGCGCCACTTAGCGGCTTTTAGGTTAGATAACCTTTTCCAATTAGTTTGTGCAATGAGTTTTTCACGTTATTTAGAAAGGAATTGTCTTCTCACATAAAATGGCAGTATCCTTTTTGGGTAAAAGAATCGCTTTAACGCGACGGAATTTCTTGAAAATTCCGAAGCGACATGGATATATAGTCCTGTAAGTTTATCTTCCTTTTCTATATTATCATATAGAGGTTAGGTTCTACTCAATTCCTTATGTCCTTCTATTATTGCGTTTTATATCATTTTATTGTGTTTTCCTTACATTTGAACATATATTTAGTATTATATTTTTTTTACTTTCATTAATTAGTTATACGTTCCAACTATGTACAATTTTTATTTGTGTTCATATATTTATATATTATATGATGTAAATGTACCTTTTATAATGTTATTTAATTTTTGTTGCTAAATATCTACATAATTATTAAATAGAATATATATTTTAAATATATTAATTTATATAGTCAAATTGTACTTAAAGTATGAAATTATTTTACCTATTGTTTTTGTACATATTTTATTTAATTATATTTGTTAGGTATTTAAATTAAATTTATATATTTTATACATTAGCATACATTATGTACCGTATAATTTTATACTTCTTTTCCTTGGTGTCAAGACTTCCAGAAATAGGTGAAGAATCATCCGAGAAAAATCCTTTATTAAAGGATGACAATTTGCCAGAGTTTAATACATTTACAATTGAAAAATGTATAGCAGCTATTAGGAAACAAACTGTAGATTTTGAAGAAAACATGAATAGTCTGGAAAAAAAAGTCTGTAAGTATTAAATATCAATCAACGATAAAGTATTACTTAAGTATTAAAAGATATTTTGCTGAAAATATTAATTAAATATAATTAAGTATTAATTTTATTCAAATGATGTATATTTGTATAATTAATATTATAAATGTATTGTACAAGCAAATTTTGAATATTTGGAATAAATGATATTACAAGAAACTGATTTTCTTATAATTGTTTTTCATAGTAATAATAAAATTAATATAATATAACTTTTAAATATAAAAGAAGTATAGTTGAGTATGTATAATTATGATTTTTAATTTTTATAATTTTTTATAGCAATAAAAGGTTTAGATATATTTAATGATTGGTTACATCTAATCGAGGATGCATATCTTCCTCTTGAGACTACTTGGGGTATAGCAAAGACTTTATATTTTGGCAATCAAAGTTTAATGCCGACGAAATGCTACATGGATATTCATGAACGTGCTACAAGAGCCATAGCTAGCAAATTTGGCAGTGCGCCACTCTTTAGGGCATGCAAGGAAACATTGGAGAATAAGGACATTAAATTAACACATTCGCAAAGGAGAGTGCTTAGCAAGTATGTGCTGGAAGGAACTTTGAATGGCCTGCATCTGCAAGATAAAGAATTGGAGAAATATTCATCCATTTCAAGTTATATTATGTTGAAAATCAAGGAATACAAACCAAAATATGAGGTCTGTCACATAATTTGTAATAGATTTATAATAGTTATAACAACAAAATTAGAAAAGACTACCAGAGGCTAATTAAATTTGAAAAAAGCAGCGTTGTTAGTAGACTTTTATTTTTGTTATTTTAGTATATTAACAAACATTTATTAACGAACATTTGTCTTGCAAAAAGCATAGCAACAAATTGAAATTTAATTTGATCTTTTTTTAGAGTTCCACAGCTGTGTATAATATGATAATACATAACAAATATGTCGTGGAGGATTTTCCGGAAGATTATCTCAGATCCATTGCAACTGATCCTAGTAAACCATATATGGGTCCTTGGAAAATCACTCTAAAGCCATATATCTTGCAACCGTTTATGGGTAAGTATCCTTCGTATTTTTATTAATAAAATGTAAAATTTTCTTAAGACTAAAATTTTAATTAATTTATATTTTTTCAATTAGAATATTGTCCTGATCGTGAATTGAGGAAAGCGATCTGGGATGCTGATGTCACCCGATGCTCTAATTATCAGGAAAGATCCGTTCAGGCTAGCGGAACGTTGGAAGAACTCCGATCAGGTAGAATTGAACAGGCGCAACGATTGGGATTTAAGAATTACGCAGAGATGAGCATGGAGACAAAAATGGCAGGCAGTCTGGAGAATCTGTTCAATACGCTAGAAGTTCTTCGGAATACTGGTAATTAATTTATTATGAATGAGAAATATAATACAGAGAAAGAAATAATTAAAAATTTATTAGAACATTTATGCACTTGTTAAAATAATCTTGTTAAAATTAATTTGTTGATAACTTATTGGAATTGCGAAAGAATGATACTATTTTACTATTAATTAGATCTATCAGAAAAAATATCTACTTTTATTAATATATTATTAAAATTATGAATATGTAATTATTATAAATAATAGATAATATTAGATTTGATAATATTAATTGATTAATTAATAATTATCTAAAATTGATGAATAATTATCTGTTTTTTAAGCATTGCCCGTTCAGGAACAGGAAATCGCAAGTTTAACCGAATTTGCAAAGGAAAGAGATTTCAATGACATTATCAGGGTATGGGATATTGCATATTGGAGTAAAAAACAACGTCGTGACATGTATACGTAAGTAAATTGACATAAAAAATATTCTACATATAGTTAATATTAAACTAAAAAGTTGTTTTTTTTTTTAACATAATATATGTATTTGTATATTAAAAATTATTATATTGCGCTCGTGCGATTGCACTTAAAAAAATATATAATTTTATTTGAAAGAAAATATAAAATTTTTGATATTACATAATCTAAATATCATTTAAGATATTTGCTAAAAATTAATAATATCGAATAAAGTGTTGTAAAATAATGTTTCTTTAAATAATTTATCTAATTCTGTGTTTGTTCAGTAATGATGAAAACAAGTGGAAGGAGTATTTTCCGCTACCGACTGTATTGTCAGGTCTCTTCAAACACATCGAGACGCTCTTCAATGTGAAAATCGTCGAAAGCAAAAAAGCGGATATTTGGCATAAAGATGTCCGGTTCTTCGACATATTCGATTTGAATGGATCCAATGCCGCACCCATCGCAAATTTCTATCTAGATCCCTACGCCAGAGGAACGGAGAAGTTCCGAAAGGAACAGGATTCGGGATGGGTGTCCACAATTAAAAGCAAGAGCAAAGTGAACAATAGCACTCCACTGATCGCCATGATCTTCAATTTTCCGCCACCGATAGGCGATAAACCCTCTCTTCTTTCCTTCAGGGATATACAAGTTCTTTTCCAGAAGGTAATAATATATATATTATACTATTTATAAAATTATAATAAGTTTATATATTTGATTTATTAAAAAATTAATTTTTTATGATTTGTTACACATTACAGTTTGGACACGCTTTGCAACATTTGCTAACTACGATCGAGTACTCTGACATTGCTGGATTATCATTTGTGGAATGGGACGCAGTATTCATTTGTGATTTCTTCATGGAAAACTGGTATAAAATAAAGTTATTTTTATTTATTCTATTCATTTACCGACTTTCCATATATTCTTAGTATCTTGTATCAATATTGTAGTTAATTAATTAATAAGTTAATGTATAATATGTAATTCAATTTTATGTATTTTATGAATATAGGTTGTATGAATCATTTATGTTGCAAAACATCTCCGGACATTACAAAACGAAGGAACCATTACCTGCAGAGGCTATCGACAGCATTAAAAGAATGAGGTCGCATTTGGCTGGCTATAAGCTTTGTAAAGAACTTTACTTATCACATTTGGATCTGGAGCTGCATTCCAGGTGAATGTCGATTTGCAAAAAGTCTTTGTTGAACTAAATTCTAAATGTTTTTCCTAAATTATTTGAGATATAATTACATTAATTAAATATTATATAGGATGTTTAAGACTACCCATACATCTTTTTTAAAATATAGCAAAGTGGTACCAAAAATCCTAATAATTGTAATGAGTACATTGGGTATGCTTTATCAAATGGTAATATTTTCAACTTAATGGGTTACCCTATTGGATGTTAAATTTTTTAATATAACATCCTTTTTTAGTAATAGATAACTTATTTTAAACATTTTTTTACTTTTGAACATTTTTCTTTGTTGTGCTAAAAAATTCAACATCCAGCCTATATTCTATTCCTAATTAGAACCAGAAGTTGTAAATACCACTATTTAATAAGGTGTATTTGTTTACTTAATATTACTAAATTTTTACATTTTTGATAGAAACTACTTTATAAAAGGAAAATGTACGAATGGTCTTAAATATATATCTTATACCATGTATATTTTATTACATCAAAGCTTACAAAATACACGAAGTACTTGTCATTCTTTCAACACAATAATTCGACGACTCTAAAACAATATTGATCTTTGTTTTGATTCTATTGCTTCATTTTATTTTTAAAAAAATTGCAGTGAAACATTTTGGGTGCCTATGATGAAACGTTTATGGCCGAAATATTTCGTGTTGCCTCTCGAAAAAAGGGACGTTCATGTTTGCAATTTCGATCTTATATGGAGCGGCAATTGGGCAGCTGCATATTTCAGGTATCGTGGAATATATATCCATCAATTTTATATAAATATTGAAGAACTTTTGCAAATTGATTTTAATTTAAGAGAGAGATAGTTATATATATAATTAGCTCAAATTATACATGATGTCCAAATTTTTTTATACACCACTTGTGTGTGAGCAGATAGAATGAACTGAGTTGAAAAGCCTTTTACCATTTTGCAATTTTCGTAGTTTTTTTTTTTAGTTCACACAATGAGTAATATTTAAAATCAAAGCATAAAACGACTTTAAGATATCTGTAAGAGTTGTTTAAAAAACATCTTTAAAATATTTTATTAAAAAACTGAAAGATCTTATGCATCGGTTTTACTCGCTTTTCGACTCAGTTTAATCCTGTTTATCCGTCTATAAGTGATTAAAAAGTTTTGGACATCCTACATGTATGCAAAATTAAGTAATAAAGCAGTTGTTTATATAATTCTTATTAGTTGCTTACAGGCCCGTATTCAGAACGCGCTAACAACGATGTTAGCGCGCTAACATGCTACAGTTTACGTCACGTATACTATAGAATTTCAGAGATAAAAGCGCACTTTTATCGATAAAAGTACGTTCTGAATACGGGACAACAGTGTATAATAGCTGATATACAAGCACTGATCTGTTTAACCATTAAATTACAGCAAAATTTGGTCCGAGATGATAGCTGCCGATTTGTACACAGCTTTTCAAGAGGTCAACTTCGATGAATCGCAACAGAAGGAATTAGGCATGAGGTTCCGTAACACATTTTTATCTTTAGGCGGTAGTTATCCTGCTGCCGAGGTTTTTAGGAAATTTAGAGGAAGAGATCCAAGCCCAAAGGCATTATTAGACAATCTTGGTTTAACGCATACAACGAAAGAAACCAAATGATGCGATTATGATTAGATATAGTACTACTCTTCAAGAGTATGCAAAAATAATTATCAATTCTGTATAGTACTGTTACTTCGATCCATAAATAATATAGATTCAGGAATTAATTCAATTGTGAGGTAATTATATGATTGATGAAGCAATAAATTATTATTTGTAAAATACTGTACTAAAAAACTACGAATTTTTCATTTAAATTAACATGTTCGCTACCACACGTCACATACTCGTATATATGACAAGCCAGTTTACTTCGAGAGCTCGACGTCACGTGTATCCCATGTGACATCGTTAATTTGCAATTTTATGATCATGTGAAAAAAGGAGTTTGTTCCGAATGTTGTCGTGTAAAAATATTGCGAAGAAAGCTTTGGCTGTGGGATCGGTTTTTCCAACGGTGATAGCGAATGTATTAAACTGACGTACGGAGGTTAAATAATTTGAATAAAAAAATATTTAATGTATTATAAACAAACTTCTTTTTTTAAACTAAAATATAGTTTCTTCTTTTCCTCCCTAAACGTATATTACATATATTATGATTAATTATTAATGCTTTTCAAAAAAAATATAAATGTAAATTCTGTTAAATTTGATAACAATTATATATACATTTTTTTTTATTTCTACATCAAAATAAAAAAATGTAAAAAAGAAGAACATAAAAACATATCTTTATAAAAAAGCAGGGAAAACATATGTTTCTAAATATATCTTTATAAAGATATTATGTTTGTTTGTAGATATGTTTTTTATTTAGATGTTTTTGTGTAATATGTATAATGTAATAAACTATGTATTATGCAATAATTGTTTATCACTATTTTATTATTTATTATAAATTTTTATTAATTTACATATTCTTTATGTTCTATATATTTACATATTATTTATTTGCATATTCTATATTATTTACATATTTTTATTAATTTACATTATTCTTTTAACATATATTGATCAATGTTATATTTGAATATCGCGCTACACTATTTAGGACCAAAATTTGATTGGCCACTTATTGTTCTGAACTGTCGTTATGCGCGTTGACTCACCTGTCTTCTTCCACCATGAGAACAGCTAAAAATGTAACAACGAAGATAGCGCTGAGACCGCAAAATACTTCAGGTCGCTTACTGTATATTAATACAGATTAAAAACAAGAAAATAAAAAGGCAATGTTTAATATGGCGAATAAATTTATTCAATATTTTTCAATTTTTTAATAGATTTTATATCTAATTTGATCCAATCCTACCAAGTTTACATTAAATTTAAAAAATAAGTCTAATTTTTAAAATTATAAACGACTCACATCCTGTATGGATATTCGCACAATCTCTTAACAAAAATATTAACATTAATTTAACATAAGTCACTAAAACAATTACTAAAATAAAAAATTTACTGGATCTATCATTTTCTCTCATCTTGAAAATTTGACTTTAGATCCAAAAAAACATATCAAAAGACGTATATAAATACAAATATTAATAAAATTGTTCAAAAACTATGCTCTATAAGGATTAATTGGAGATGTTTGTACAGCCTCTGTCAATTCCATTGATACACTATTCGAGACTGTTTAGCCAAAATCGTTTCCTTAGCGAGCGAGATCAAGATACCGATTAGTACATCGCACGTGTTGCGGCCTGTGGAGCCTTGCAATTAACGTTTGTAATTTGAAAAATTAAAAAAAGATACAAATGATCAACTGTGGACATGTTAAACTGAAAAACGTTTAAAATACCTTTTTGTAAAAATATATTGTTACAATATAACAGATTATGTCTCCTTTTCCTGTGGATCACAATCGTCAGTAGAGATTACTCTTTTATTTCCGCGATCATATCGTAACTTGCTAAGGCGGAACCATTCGCTTGCTATAGTTTCAAATTCGCATTCGTTGATACCTTTGGCTCTTAACACAACTAATAAAACATTTAATAGTATGGTTAATATTACAAATAAAATCTTTATCGATTTAGATAAAGAATAAAAATGTACACCTTATTAAAATAACTCACTTTTTAGAATTTGGATACATTTTAAATCGCACATGCGATGATTACTTCCGCGACCACACCAAGAACAACTTATGCCAAATTCATTTGTAAATAAACGGCTCATACACCGTTGTATCATATTTTTGTTGCCTTTTCCTCCGATTCTTTTCATAAATTGCATCTTGAAAACATACAACTTAATTAGGTCATATACAAACGTATCCATACGCAATTAGGTAAATAATAAATAAAATGTAATTTATAACATACTATTACTCCTATAATAAATATTTATATTTTCAAAAATTAACTTACAAACTTCGTTTTTGTTTCAGTTGTTTCCATACTTTCCTCAAATTTTTTGAGATCATGTATGGAATTGATCGGAAGTATGTCATCGAATACGTTCATTTCTGCAGGCTCTTCTTCAATTATTAAGCTTTTTTCCAAAACTCTCAGCCTTTTATCAATACCTTTTACATACCTTAATATTTCTTCACAAAGTGGAATCAGCTTTTCTGGAATGAAATCAATTAAAACAGTGTATAAATTTTCTTTTACTATATTCCTTCCAATCAAAACATATTATAAGTTTAACTTATAAAGTATTACTTGCCTAAGACGTTTATAATAATTCAATAAAAAGAAATGTAAAATATAATTCTTACCACTGTCACCAACTGCAGCTGATGGGGAAGTAGTTGAAATAAATTCAAGATCTAAAAAAAGTTATCATATCAATTGTGTATGGATATTTTATCATATAGATCAGATCTCCATTATTTAAGCTCCGGAGACAAAACGCAAAGCCATCAACAAAAAAATTCAATGTAAGATTTCAGGGACTGCAATGTCGATAAGCGTCGCTCAGACGCGTATCAACATTTTACAGTCCTCGAAATCTTACCCACACTGATTTTTTTGAGTTTATAACTTTGCGTTTTAATGCAGGAGTTGAGATTGGACAGACTTGATAAATATTATATATCTTGAAGATAAAAAAATTTTTGAACTTTTACTTTGTACGTTCATTTCTTGCGATTCAAATTCGGACGAATCATTACACTCTTCCATTTGTACTATTTGTAGTGGATCAACTATCTGTGTTTGTGATTTATCACACAATGATTGTAGAAAAGGCTTTGATGTAGAAAAGGCGGTAATTTGTGAGACTTTATTACATGAAAGTTGTTTTTTATGCAAAAATTGTTTGTCATGCAAAGACTTCTGCCCAGACAATTCCGAATTTTCATTTATTTTTATCTTCTTACATGAAGTCTGCAATTGCGAAGATGAATCTGATAAAAAAAATATAATAAAAATTAGTTAAGTGTGAACAGTTTGTTTTACACTGTAAATCATCAACACAACATTGAAATAAATTTTTAAAATACAATTTTTGAAAACAAAAAACTGATTTTTTATACAATAGAAACGAAATATAATTTGATAAATTAAATTACCGCAATCATCATCTATGTCGTCATCATATGTATCGTCAAATCGTTTTTCGTGTATGACTCTTTTACCATGTCTTCTGTTTTCGTCACAGGTTGCGTAATTTGGATGTACTTTTTTTCGTACCTCCTCTGAAGTATCTGTAAATATACAATTTTTTATTGATTGTCCTCAGGAACTTACATAAAGCATTTACTTTCTAACAACTTAATTTTATTTATTATTGATAATTACAATAGTCTTGTGTGATTCACCTATTTGGGTACTTATACAAAAAAAACATTAACTTAAGATTACTTCACAGACGTAGGGCTATAACTTACACTGATCTTTACAATTAAACTTGCAATTTATAAAGTAGCTTAATAATATAAACAATAAATATAAGGAGTATACAATCACAATGCTGTTATTAGCAAATCTCTCATCTAAGTATTTAAAATGATCTGTAATATTAGGAACATAGACGTTTTGGTCTCTATTAGACCATCTTCAGTATGTCATATTATGATAAAATTTTATTATAATATGACATAAGAGTATTGAAGAAGATTTAATATAGACCGAAACGTTTATGTTTCATTAAATATTACATTAATTGTTTACAATTAAGTATCATTTAAAACTTTTCCTTTATAAACATAAATTTCCTAGGAAATTTTAAAATCTTATCATAACACATAATTTAAAAAGTAGAGGTATTCAACAAACAAATATTCTATGTTATCATCTGCTAAGAATATCATACCAATAAACTCTTCCTTTCTATCAGATATAATTTCTACTTCACAATTAAGATTAAGAGGAACAGTGTTCTATTATTAGTAATATTACAAGTTGGTGATATTTTAACATCTTGTACGGAGTAGAACTTTCATAATTACATAATTCTGTTGGAGATACAGGGAATATTTGTATGCTTCAATAAATTATTTAACGTATTGCATCATATACTATAAATTACAGGTCTGGGGATTTAAAAAAATGTTCTCTTATAGTCATAATTGGGTCTAATAATTCTTAATTTACAATTATTTTTCAAATTTAGACATAAACTAGATTATGAAAAAAAGTCTAGAAGACAAAAAATATTCATCTTAATCTAATTAAGCTTACGTAATTTTTTTGAAATTTGTATTTAAAGTTTAGATTTTTTAAACAAAAAATTGTTTTATAACTATTCAACTGCATAAAAAAATAAAGTATATATAGATGTTTTTTCAGAATAGTGTGAGGAAATAAATTAAATAATTTTAAGCCACTTTTCTTTTGAATGTTGTGCTTGGAAGGTTCATGAATTGAAAATAGAGGTAAACCATTCACCTATCAATATTAGTAATTTTCTTCTACTAGTGCTAGTTATTTTTAATAAATTTTAATTTTCAAATTGTTATTTTAAGGGGCCTATTCTGTAACTTTTAACAACAATATTGTTATATTATCATTGCGCAGATTTTGTATATCACAAAATAGCTGCGCAATGATAATTTAACGATGTTGTTAAAGTCGTTAAGAGTTACAGAATAGATTCCTTAGACTCACCAATTGTATCGATATCTATAAATTTTAATTCAAGAATATTGTCATTCTCTTCTAGATTTTGTTTGTCTTCTTGATTTTCTATATTACAAATTCTGTTTTTAAATGTAGGAGATTTGGATGATGTATGATCCACTTGATTATAAGAAATACATCTCGTATTCATAGCACTACAATCTTTATGGACTTTGTTATATGGTGCACACATTTGTTTTATAGGCAATGCTTTATTAATTGACTCTTGATTTGCTTCAGATGAACATTCATTTAATTTATTCTGATTGCTTTCTTCATTTAGCTTCTCATCTGTCTTATCATTATCCAATTGATTAATATTCTCTTCATCATTTCTAGGCCTCCCAACTCTTTGATACTCTGTTGACTCCATTTTTGTGGCTATTTTATATGCTTTTTCAAATGTTAAATCATCTTCCGTTACCAATCTCCGTTTAATATGTTCTGAATGTAAACCAAAGATGAATTTATCTCTCAAAGCTTCATCCAACAATCCTTCAAATTTACAATATTTTGATAGATTCTTCAATCTAGTTCGATATGACTTAATGTCTTCACTACTATCTTGAAATGTACTATAGAATTTGTATCGTTCTGCTATTGTGAGCCTTTTTGAATTAAAATGATTTAGTAACGTCTCTTTTAAAGCAGTATACGTCTTTTGACTGGGTAATTGTGGGAACAAAAGATCTTTTAAAATAATGTAAGCTCTTTCCCCTAACAAAGTCAAGAAAAGTGGCACTTTCTTGTTTTCATACACATCATTGCAAATAAATAATTGTTCTATTCTTTCAATATAAGTTGTTATATCAGCCTGATCTGGATTAAATGGTTCAATATTTCCAAGATACATTGTGCTAATTTTGTACGGATCAACTTAACCTTAAATAGATCGTTATAAACTTAGAGCATAAAGCTGACTTTTCATATGCAGTACCACAGTATATTATAGTACGCTGCAACAGCAAAATGTTATTATTGGTTAAAAATCTTTTGTGAGGTAACGCACCTCCCGCACTTCCAATCAGTTCTCGCAAATTTGTATCACATGACATTTTGCTGCCGCAGTGTGCTGCATATGAAAAGTCAGCTTAAGGTTATAAATAACGCACGTGAATTTTTCGAAGTTGTTGCCAGATATGATCAGTTCCCACAAAGGAACTTACATAATGCATATCTTTTCTAATAACTTAATTCGTTTTAACATTATTTATTATTGGTATAATTACAAAATTACAATAATCTCTTACGAATATTAAAGAACACTACCAGTCACTACCAGTCCGCCGATGATAGACGCCGGGTGATCTTTTACAGTGTCGTTGCGCAGCTTTTTTATCGTATGAAATATCTGCGCAACGACACTGTAACGATAACGACGTTGTCGTTAAGAGTTACAGAATAGGGCTACAGAGGCCCTATTCTGTAACTCTTAACGACAGTGTCGATATCGTTACAGTGTCGTTGCGCAGCTTTTTTATCGTATGAAATATCTGCGCAACGACACTGTAACGATAACGACGTTGTCGTTAAGAGTTACAGAATAGGGCTACAGCCCCTGTATTCTGTAACTCGTTAAGGCAGTTAACGACATCGTTGCGCAGATATCTTATGGTATAAAAAGCTGCGCAACGATGTCGTTAACTGCTTAACGAGTTACAGAATACGGCCTCAGGGGGCCTATTCTGTACACGCTTACCGACAACTGTCAGTGTCGTTAAGTAGCGATAACCAATGGTAAGGACTGTTCTAGGAGAAAAGTACGATTCTTATTGGCTATCGCTACTTAACGACACCGACAACTGTCGGTAGCCGTGTACAGAATATGGGCCCTGAATGAGGAAAAAAGAGATACATGGGTCTGTTCCAGTCTGTTCGTACTTCGCGTTACTTGAAATTTTCCAAATTATTGAACTTAAAATAGTCGCATTCAGTAGATTGAGCAAGATTGCACCAACGTGATTTCTATTTTAAGCGAGACTACTGTCTTTGTCTCTGTCTCTCTTTCAGTTTTAACTTTTAATACAAGGTAGATAGAGTTTTAAAGTCTTGCTTAAAATCAAGTAATGTTGGTGCAATCTGGCCTCAACAGTTCTGTTGCGGAGCGGTTCCGCTTGCTGAGCAATTGAATATGATTGGTTAGATCTATAAGTAACAACCAATTATGTTCATTTGCTCCGCAAGCAGGCATGCCGCTTTGTCAACTTGAACGCGCCAATAAGGGAGCGTTATCGTATGTCGTGCCGTAAGAAATTGGCCAATCACAGTAGAAAACAATCGACCATGATTGGATCGACAGACGCGATTGGATCGACAGACGTGATTGGTCAATTCCGATGGACTAACCGGCTGATTAAGGCCGGTATTCATAGTCAGTTCTTATATTGAAGGCCGTCTTAAGTTCAGTCTTGAAGAGTTAAGGTTGGATTATACTGGCCGTAATCTGTTAACTTATGCTGTAATCTGTAAAAATTGACCAATCACAGTCGAATGAGAGGGGAATAAACGATTATAATTGGTCAATTTTTACAGATTACAGCATAAGTTAACAGATTACGGCCAGTATAATCCAACCCTTAGGGTGCAAACCCATGCAGCGGAATAGCGTAACGCGGAACGAGAGTAGAATCAATCACGAGATTCTCTAGAAACACGGAATGCTCGTTATTGGTTCTGCTCTCGTTCCGCGTTACGCTATTCCGCTGCATGGGTTTGCACCCTTATGGTTCCCGCAGACAGAACGCGGAAACGCTTGCCGCGCGGCGGAAGTTGGCACGATAACCAATCAACATCTTGCTGGCGAGACGCTGATTGGCTATCGAGGCAACTTCCGCCACGCGGCAAGCGTTGCCGTGTTCTGTCTGCGAGAGCCATTACGAACCAATCAGAGGACCGCTTTAGCATCTTAAGACATTACTTAAGACAGTCTTGAAAGATAAGAACCGACTATGAATACCGGCCTAAGTTAATTGAAGTTTGTGAAAGTGACCCTAAATGCGCGTTCAGTGGACGCAACAATTGAGTGAGCACTGAGTGTTCGCCGTTATTGGTGTATTTTTTTAAGATTATCCAATCAAAATTTTAGATCTAGAAGAATGCACCAATAACAACGAGAGCTCACTCAATTGTTGAGGCCGCTGTATGCGCCCATTTCAAATTGGTGTCTGTGAAGTGGCATCCCTGAATGGCCTGAATTCCCTGATCGCTTCGTGATGTTTCGTTTCTAGGTTAGGTATCGATCAGTGCGCTGGCGCTGTCTCGGCAGCGACGGGGATGCGAGAGTGATGTTCGTCATGTTTCCATCCCGGCGGATCCCGCCGACCCGTGCGAGTTAGGAGTCGGTGCATCCGCTACGATGACAGTGTGCTGATCGCTACAGCGAAACATGGCGCAGTCTATCCTCGATGTTCTGACAGGTAAGGCACGCATCACTCGAAATAGGCGGGGTTGTGACCGATCACGGAAACGTCAACAATTCACCTTCAGCCTTCACTTCTCGGGCATGAAGTAGACTATCATTTCCTCTCTGCATCTCCACGAGTTCGTCTTGCAGCGACAATTTCGAGTACGCTACATAGCATGAGAGTGTGCAGGGTTTAAAGGATATAAAAAAAAATGGAGGTCACCCGACTTGATCTGACTCAATGCATTTTATATGTAGTAATCAACAATGTTCTGTGAATCAACCCTATGCGTACTCTCAGAATATTCTGTTTTAGGCTCTGAAGATGCTTGTCCTTCAGAGCATGTTTACAAAATTTAAAATAGAAAAACTAATACATACGTTTATATACATAGATTAAGAAATGAAATTGAATTTAAATCAATGATTGTATTTATTCTTTAATATACATTCTTATTATTATTTGAATATTAAAGTAAGGTTCTAGAATAATCATTCAAAGAATAGAAAACCTTTAAAAGCAAACATAGTTTTTTATGCATGAATTTTGTTATGTGTATTGATAATCATTATTAATTAATATTGAACAATCATATTGCAGATGTTTTCAGATTTGGTTCTCTTCAGATTTAGTTCAGTGTATATTATACATAAGAAATTACGATTACTAAGTTAGGGTCTATAAATCCTCTAGTCATAGAGCCGATTGTTCTATTTTTCGGTAAAGTTTACCTGTTAGGTAAATCTGGCAATCCACGCATATGATTGGATAATTTTGTTACTTACCTAACAGGTAAACTTTACCAAAAGATGGAACAATCGGCCCATAGTCAAAGAATCAAATTGTTAAAAAAATTGAAGTCATTGATGGAAATATGATAGGTCTGATCATTGAGATTCATTAAAGTTAAGTGTAGCATTTAAAATAGAAAAACTAATATGTATGTTTATATAAATTAAGAAATAAAATTAAATTTAAGCCAATGATTCAGATAAAAAGTTATAAGAAGAATAAACAATTTAATTAATTGAGAAACTAATTATATATATATATATATAAAAGTAGACAATTATATTTCATATCTTAATTATTTATTTAATGATTTTACAGATGTCTCGTTAGACGGCTCTTCTGTGCAATCCTTGTTGGAATCTCAAAACTTGATAGCTGAAGTTGAACAGTCAGGTATGTATGCACAGTCAAATATAATTTAGAGGCTGAATCTGACGAATCTCTAAAATAACAAAAAGAAAATGTCAGACTGACATAGATTATTTTAACTTCATTTTTTTGAGTTATTATAAATTGAGAAACACACCTATTCAAAAAGTGCTTGTCTTTAATGGCCATTGAACACTGAAAGCTGGTCAGAAATGAATATTACATCTATATTTTATTAAATTCCAATTTACTAAGTAAAATATAAACAAATTAAAAATCTATGAGATGACAATTATGTTATAACAAGATATGCATTTAAATACTTGAATAAAGTTGGTTGAAATAAGAATTCTTTTTTGCAAATATTTCAACTGTCCGGTTTACTGTATCATGTCAATAAAATTATATAATTAAATATATTATGTGTTGTAAAGAAATAAATTATAGATTAAGAATTTACATGAAACGTTGGTTATACCGATAAATAATCGTGTTAACTTTGACTATTGTAAACATAATGGAAATCAATCGATTAAAATATATATAAATCAGTTAGATAAATAATAAAGAATAAATAATAAAAAGAGGGGAGTGTTAAGATTCCACAAAACATTTGCATATATCGGATCGAGGATCGAGGGTGTCATTCTGCAAATTCGAACCGTACTTCTGTTTTTTTATATGTATATCGTTACACATTAATGTTATGATTTGATATTGTTATTATACTGAAGAGAAATAGAATCAAAATGTATATATGTTTTTGTTCATCAAATTTAATAAAAAATATTTATATATACATTTATATACACATCTATAACTTGTATTGGCTCTGAAAGACTTCTATTATTACCATTTATTGATTTATTACAAATATTGTATTATTTCATATAAAATAATATAATTATATATGTGTTAATATTTTCTATAATTATATCTTATATTGTTATATAATTATATCTTACATATCATTAAATATTTTTATCAGCGATTGATCAGGATGAGGAAGATATATTCCAATGTGGCAAATGCAAAAGTCAATTTACGTCGCTCCAACTGTTTATACTCCACAAGAGAGCGCATCAGAAAACGCAGCAGCAGACAGTAGATTTGACTCAATTCTTAACAAACGATGAGAGTCAGGTAATGCATGTGGAAGATGTCGTTCAAGATGAGTCGCAGTATAATTCGCAGGAAACCTTTCAGCTTGGAGAACCTATTATTCTCGAAGAAGCAGACATGCTATTTAGGTATGTTGTCATTACTAATTGTAATTATAATTTAATAAATTTAAATTAAATATTTTTGCCGTCTTGAATATATAAATTATTCCTTACTTTTGTAAAACCTTTTCTTTAATGCGTATTATCTTTTTTAATCTAACCTAATTGTTATAGTGTGGACCAAGAGGCTGCTAATTATTTCATGACAGACTCCACGTTCAGCGTGCCGATCATCTTAAGTACAGAGAATTTGGATACTTTCGATAACGCTGCCATCGAGGCGACGAGGGAAGACTCAAGCGAGGTGCCGAAGATACTGCAAAATGACATCAGTTCACAGGAGGATGCCTCGAGCCAATCTGAGCATCCTAGTGCCTCGTTGACGGACAACGAGCCATCTCTGGCGGATAACGAGCCGCCTTTAGAGGACAACGAATCCTCTCTCGAAAACAACGAGACATCCCTCCAGGATCCACTCGGTGAATCAGAAAATGGCATTAATCGAACGCAGAACTTAAAGGTATCATTGTATTGGTGACTTTCTGTTTCTAAAACGGAAAGTAAAATTTATAAAATTTAGCCCTATAATTTTAAATTAAATTATAATCAATGTTTTTATGTAATTTAACCATAAAATTTAATTAAATTTTAATACGAGACTTTAATTACAATAACAAATATAATGTAAATATGCTTTCAAATTTTTTTAATTGCAAATTTATTGAAATTACTAAATAAATTACAGAGATTAATGTAAACTTTTTATATTAAGACACATACACACATATTTGATCATGCCATTGCAGTATAAGTGCGGTTATTGCAACAAGCAGTTTGCAAAAAAATTCTATTGGCAACAGCATGAACGTTCTCACACTGGAGAAAAGCCTTATCAGTGCGTAGTATGTGGTCGTGCATTTGCGCAGAAGTCAAACGTGAAGAAGCATATGTCCTCACACAAAGTATGGCCTGGCACCGCCATTCACTCATTACCACCAGAGGTATAACATTTTTAATTAAACTAATTACTGGGATTTATTTCTCTTTTTGAATTTTTACAAAGAGAAAATTTATATAAAAATATTAATTTTTATAAAGATATCTTTGCAAGAACAAGAACATTTTTAAGAAAAACTATATTGCATATTGTACATATTATAAGTCCATATTGTAATCTGTTATTTTAAATATTAATTTTAAGGCGCACAAAGATATTAGACATCATTTAATTATAATTATATATAATTTTCTATTCAATATTTATATTGTTTATTTTTACCTATTATTTTTTATATATCGTTTTAATTATTTATATTCTTTTGAAATGACTTTTAGGCCCCTCCAGATGGAAGTATCGACCGCACATACCATTGTCAATTCTGCAAAGAAACGTTTGATTCGTACAAAGCTCTAAAAGGCCATCTAATTGTTTCGCATCTGGCACTGAAAGTGTACAAGTGCGTGCAGAGTAGCTGTAGCATGATGTTTTCGGAACTGGAGGAGTTTTTGGAGCACACACGCAGCCACAAGTGCTCGGAGTATCGATGCCACGTGTGCGGTGAAGTGTTCAGCACCCTGTCGGATCTTGGTCGCCATCAGTATGTTCACTCCGTCCAGAAGCAAAAGACCACGGAGAAGTATTACTGCTGTTCGACTTGCAAATCGTCATTTTCGAATCTAGAGGCGTTGCAACACCATAAGGAAACCACCACGCACAACTATGCGTGCCTGCATTGTGGCAAAAGCTTTCTCATCGAGAGATTTCTGCGCCGTCACCTCAAAACTCACTCGGCATCAGCGAGATTTGTCTGCGAAGATTGCGGCAAAGCTTTTAAAACCGAGCAATATTTAGCTAATCATAAGCTTATACACAGCGAAGAGACGCCTTTTACATGTCCAGTAAGTAAGAATAATTACAATAAATATAAAATTAAGATTTTGTATTAATGTGATATTCAATATCATTATATATCTAAAAATTAGGCATATTTATGGAAGTAAACTACATTCAAAACGCTAAAAATTAAGCAAGTAGATTAGATTAATATTATAATTATAATTTTTAGAATATAGATGTTTTTTTCTAATAACATATATCGAAATAAATCCTTTACAATGGATATAATAATAGTACTAATAGTACTAATGCAGCAAAAAAATCTGTAATATTAAGAAAACTTCATTAAAATTAACCTTTGATTCCTTTTTGACTTGAGTCACATTTTGCTTCCATTGTACTAAAAAAAAAAACCTTGATTATCTATTACCGAAATCAGAATTTGAAAAATTTAAGCTATTTCTGAGAAATTTTGTAAACGGACGGACGGACCAACACTGAAAATAAAATTATAAAGTTTACTATGCTGCACTACTTAGTAAATTGAAATATTTTTTATTGATATTTGTATTTTATATTTGAAATCGCAGCATTGTCCAGCCAGATTCAAGCGGAAAGATCGACTCGGTCGGCACATGCTGATCCACGATTTGACAAAGAGACTCAAATGCCCGTTTCGCAATTATTTAGGCTGCATGAGTGAGTTTTCACGGCCAGACAAGCTCAAACGGCATCTGCTGACGCACAGCAACGTCAAACGGTTCAGTTGCAGCCACTGCAATCGCAACTTCCACCGAGCGCAAGCTCTCAAACATCACGAGATGAACAAACACAGCCTTAAATGCGACATCTGCTCCCATGTGAGTCCTGTTTCCCAATTCAAGTAAATGCAAAATTTTAATCAGCTGACTATTGACATTACTCAGGCTTTTAAGACTAAGGAGCAGTTGGTTACTCATAATTGCGAACAATCGAACGAGACCAAGAAACATACGAGCTCTCAATTACCCAAAAAAGCGTCCGGATCATTTAAGCCGAGGAAGCCCACTCCAAAGAGACAAACGTTATCAAAGACTGCAATCCCACTTGCCGATAAAGAGAAATTAGAAAAGCTTAAGACTGATGAGATGGAAAGAAAGGTAATTTATATCTTATTATTAGACCTCTCTTCCTCAATGTATAATAAAATGTGTTCTCTCTGTTTTCATTTTCTATTATATTTTAAGTCTTCCATCTCTGCTTTATACTCTTTTCATTTAAAGGTTGTTAATATATTATTCTTAATTTTTTCTCTTAAATTTTTTTTTTCCTTTTTTCTCTGTGTCTTTTAATCATATCAAATCGTTCGATTGCAGATCGCTTCCGAAACATTCATATCTAATGATATTGACGAGGGAATCGACAAAAAAATGGAGAATATTCCTCCCGTCTTGAAAATAGAATCGACTGGCGGTGAATTAAACGAGCGATCCGACTCGCCAGTTATGGACTTCGAGAACGATTTCAAACGCAACATGGAATTATACTCGTCCCACGCGAGCGAGTAAAATTTTGCAATATATATATATATACATATAATATACATACACGCATATATATTTTTTTTATTCGTATTTAAATTGTACATCAATTAGAACGTAGACAAATCGTTGTAGTATGTGCAATGGGATCATCGGCGAAGACGCAAGTTGCATTTTATATTCGCGCGTACGGTATTTTGTAGTTTACATATCTGTGATAATTGTATTATAATGCTCTATTGATATAAGTAACTTATATACATTTAGGCGCACATCGAAGATGCTCGGTGTCGCTGATTTCTTCTATGAGAAACTTGTCGTATAGGCACAGCTATAGTTATGACTGATACTCCAAGTATCTTGTCGAACACTTTCGTTCGTTAAATTTTTTTTACGATTACAAGGTCGTACATATGATATCAAAACTATAACAAAACATTTGACAGTGCGGCGTCTTTTTAATTTATTTGTTATAAAATAATAAATCTAGACGAGAAGTCACAAATGTGAAGATGTAAAATAACTTTTAAGAAAATATCAATTTTATGAAATAGTCAAAGTTTGTATTTAATCTTATGAAGTAGCCGAAGGACAACCATAATTGTCCTTGAAAATTCTTTCCTTTGACTTTGATTTCTGATTAATTAGCGCTCCTTCTCAACTACACACTTAAACTATAATAAGAATCTCATCAAATTTAAATTTATTAGTTTCTTAAATGCAATTTATAATATTTACGTGATATGTAAGTAAATTGTTTTTTATACATAAAAAAGGTTAATTTACTAGAATCAATCTACTTTGTTGTTTAGGTTTATGATAACTTATGATATTTGAAAGGAAGTGGTCAACAAAACCGCAATCTGAAAGATTAGGAGCAAGAGTATGTCGCATATATGCTTCATGTAGAATTGGAACTGTTTTTAGTTTCGCGCTGAAATTAACGTATAGTTGCTAGTTAACTGAGTTAAAGGAACCATGCCGTTTCGTAAAACATATCAGATTAATAATCGGGAGCAAGGCAAGGCTGCTCAACAAGATCAGTCATATAGAAGCTGTCTTATGACCCTAATTATTTTCTTCTTCATGTGCCTTATCCTTATCCTCGCCTGCAAACCCTGGAAAATGCAAAACCAAAGTAAATACAAGGAGCCATCTATTAAACATGACCCACAGGTATGCTATTGAATAGGATATCTTTAGATAAATGTAAATCTACAAGAAGAACTGATATAAAAAATAGGAGGAAATTTATTTACAAGTCTAAAGAAATTTTACAGAAGTCATTACAAACTTCGTATCTATTACAAATTTTACATACAACTTTTTTTTATTTACGTTAGATCAATCATATTGGCAAACATCTTTTTAACGAAAAATAATTTTAATTTTGATTGAATAATTATATTGAATATATTAAACAGTATTATCCTCAACAACGTACAAAAGAAGTAACAAGCACGAAAAAAATTTCATTAACGACATCAACAACTCAAAGATCTCCAACGACAGAAAGGACAATTTCACCAAAAACTTGGATAATCCCAGTAAATACATCCGTTATAGAAAATGGATTAACAGAAGATACGAATGTCATTACTGAAGACTATTCGAAGAATAACGTTAAAGGATTTCGTTATGTTGAGCGTTACTTTGAAAATAAGACGAGTATCGATGAAATAACATTGCCTGTATCTCAAAAAAGTGAAGTTGAAGATTATACATCAAACGAAATCCTAAAAAATGTAGAAACTACGGAAGAAAGCATTAGCTTGACTAAGTTACCACATAATATTACAACTGATAACGTCATCAATAATACATCTTCAATATCAACTGAACTAACTGGCACCATGAAATATACTTCAATTGTTGATATTATAAAGAATATTATGTCATCAAAATCTACTAAGGAATTCATAAGTGATTCTACTGACGGATATTACAGTTCGGATAAATCAGAAGTTGACATTCTGACTAATAATATTATAACTTCAACATTTTTAACACAATCAAACAATATCGAAGAGAACGTTTTTGAGAATTCTACTAAAAAATATGAGAGATTAAGAATTGACATTGATAATATTGCGTTTTCAACATCGAGTCTTCTAATTGATGTTGAAGAAAGTACAACTGCTAAATATTCTTCCGATAGGAACAATTCTGAGGCTTTGCAATTTGAAGTGACGACGAGTAATGTTATAATTCGATCAGATCCTCAAGAAAATAAAGATAGAAATTCTACAACAAAATACTTAAATTATGAGGAATCTGCAGTCATAGAGTACAATACGACTCTAATTAATGAAAATGAAACAAAAGAGAACTCTCTTTCTACAATAAATTATACTCCACTTATGGATGAAAAGTTTTCTACAAAAATTGAAAGTGTAATTAAATTTTAATATTAAAATTTAATATTGAAATTGATTTGCTTTTGATATTTAATATATTAATTTTTTATGTAGATATTTTTCTAAATTTGTAAAATTAATATTTAATATATAATTTTTATACATAAAAGATATTCTCATAAATCTCTGGAATTTATATTATAATATGTTAATAATATTTAATTTTATACAGGAAGTTGAAGATTTAATGAATAAAACGATTACGAGTATAAAGATGGATATTACCGAGAAATCTAATATATTAACTTCTGATGAAAAGGAGAAATACAACATATCTTCCAGGTCCAATTATATTAACACAACTACTGTTTTTTACAACTACACAGCTATCCCAATAAGTTACAATAATGAGGCGAATTTCATGACCACGGCAAGCACCACATTTCTTAATGAAGATACAAGCGTTTGTAAGACAGGATACTGTAAGCAGATTGCCAGCAAGATGTTGTCCTACATGAATCATTCAGCCGATCCTTGTGACGATTTCTATGAGTACGCTTGCGGTGGTTTTGAAGCAAATCCTCAATTAACAGACGGAAATCTAATTCAGAGATCTAGAAATTATCAACGAATTGCCAGTAAATTTATTACTAATATTTTTAGTTTTAATCATATATAATTATTAATCAGTCTTGAAGAGATTATTGCATAATTATAAAAATAAATTATTAATTTTATAATTATTAATTATTTTTAACTGCAACAATTTTTATAATATAAATGTATATAAATTACGCCAGCAAATATTAATTTCTCTTTAGAAGAAAGGTTGATTAGTTATTGAAAGTAATTGTTGAATATTTTTTACATTTCTTATTCTGTTTTAAATAATTTTAGATCAGATGTTAAAAGAGAAGCGCGAGAACGTGCATTCGACTTTCATAACGTACTACGACAGTTGCGTGAAATACGAAAGAAATATGAACTTCAATGAAAGAATTGAAATGGGTAAATGGAAACTATTAAGCATTTAATGAATAGTCAATAATTTTGAATAAAGATTTACATGAATGTAAATTTAATATACGAGAGGGTGGATCAAACATAAACGAGAAATTTTGAACCTCTTTCTCGTTCATCTTGTTGCAGAATACCGATCTAAGGAAGGAAGGGATGGTTATAGGAGGGGATTTTTTAAGCTAGAAATCTCCTAACATCCCCATCAAAATATTGACGACACATTGTCCTACTTTACCTTCTTTAGGCTCGAAAGCAAAATTCTTGTTTATATTTGATCCACCTCGTAATAAAATTAAAAATTTTGTAATGCAAAAATAACTGTCAGCTGTAGACAGATATAATTTTTTTACAGCAAATGACGCATTAAGAAAAATAGGAAAGTTCTATGTACCTAATACGTGGCCTAGTAATAATAAAATGAGCTTCACCAATTTATTCGCTCAATTAATATTACATCATAGGTAAGTTCTTAGAAAGATTCATTAAAAAATTAGGATAATAAATTAGGATTATTTTGCAGCGCTCTTTTATTTGATGTCGTGCCAGAATTGGATGAATACCATCCAAACAATTTTACATTAAAAATAGGTCCTACAACTTATAAAAGTCCTTTCAAAACGGAATATGTGGAGGATCCCTGCTCCGACGACAAGAGCGAAACGAAAGGACAATACGTGGATCTCGAAATTTTGTATCATAATTATGAAAGATGCAAGGTACAAATCGCTTAATTAAATTATCGCAAATTGTTTAATTGAAAAACTGAAAAAATTTGGATTTTATTAATATTGAAGAAATGAAAAGCAAATTGTATTTTCATAAAGTTCATTTTCCTTTTATTTATAAAATTCTTTCTCAATCTTTTTAATTCACATAGTCAATGCTATTTTGTTGATTCTTTTGAGATTCACAGAGAACAATAAATAGATAATTATAAAGTATAGATTAGATTAGAAAGTTAATAAAATGGATTAATATAGGAAAGCATATAGAAGAGTTATGTAAGTAAATAATTATTCTTTTATCACAGAATGATACGAGCGAATTTATGAGTTCCATTAGGAAAACTCTGAGAGAGCTTAATGTTTTTAAGGATTTAAATGACAGCTATTCAGAATGGAATGTACAATCTGAATACATAGAAAAAACTGTTCATGTAGTTGATTCTATTGTAATGCAAGAATATTTTTCGGTAATTAAATCTATATTATAGCTTTTTATAACCATCAATAATATTATTCTTCACCGATAAAACTATTAATTTTTATTTTCACAGAACTTTCCGTCTAAAAATGAAATACGAGAAGCATACTTGATGAACGATTATAGCAAAGTGAGTTTAGTGGAATTACAGAGCAGTAGCACATTTGTAAGTAAAAATGCATAAGAATTTTAATTTCCCCACATCCCGTGTGTAAAGTAGAAATAAAAATGTATGAAATTAAATATATAATTCTAATCTCTTAGATTAAAGTTTATTTTTAACAACTTCTTATTCTTTACTTCAATTTTCTCTTGCAGGTAAATTGGGCGCAATTAATTCATTTGTTAACAGGAGTAAATGTGGAAAGTAATGAGACTATTCAAGTGTATTTCTACGCCGCACTAATTAAAGGTTTACGCAAATTAGAAGAATATGCTGCAAAAGATTCTATGAGTCTTAATAACGCGATAATGGCATTATACGCGAACAGACTTTATCACGAGGTAACTTATATGTTAAGATCCTTCGTCTTTAAGTATAATAAAATAAAAATACACATATAAATAAAATAAAAAAGTAAATTATACAAATATATTATATAAATAGTTTAACAAATGATGGAATTTTTTAATAATTTTATATTTTGTATTAGTAAAAATTATTTTTTATTTTTATTGATACATAATGAAATGAAATTCTTCGCAGTTGGTCTTGCCAAAGCGCGATAATGTGAAGGATTATTGTCTGCGTGTGGCTACTTATCTTCTACAGTTAGAAGCGTCTAATTTATATGTATCATCCTTTACTGATAATGAAATAATGCAAATGAATGAAATAGTAAGTGAATTTAAATATAAATAAAATATAATAAATGTAAATAAGTATTCAACTTATCGAATTTGCAACTTGTTTTTTATTTTTTTTACTATTATTTTATTTAATAGATAAAAAAGACATTCAACAACTTGAAACAAACATTATTAGACAAAATGCATGAAGCACAATGGGCAAAAGAGGAAGGACGAGAAGAATTGTTAAACAAAATCAATAGCTTGAAACTCGCATTACCCGTTGTTTCCTATTTCAAGAACAGAGACTCATTATATAGCGAGTATAACGTATCAGAGGTAAAAAAAATATCAAATATGTTTATCATGTAATATTCCTCTTCGTTATTATTTTATTAAAATAAATTGATATTATTAAAAACAGAACATTTCTATAAAACGTAGAATCTAAAATAAAAAACAAATATCATTATATGAATATAAGGTATTTTTGTAACAGTTCACAGATTTATATAACGTGTTTTTTTCTTGTTTTGGATGAATTCATTTTCTATATTGGCGTATAATTAAAAATAATTTTCTATATCTTAATTTTAATTACGTTCTAATTGGTAATCAACTTTCAGGTAATTCTGAATGATAATTATTTTAACAATTCGATGGTGTTACTAAAAAGATACAGAGTTTTAATGTACATCGAATTAAAAAGAGAAGTTGGTGGTCCAAAACAAATGTAAATAAGATATAATTAATTAATTCACAATCACAATAAATTAATTCAGTTTAAATAAATTTATAAAATCCTAGATATTTAACTAACTGTATAAATTTATATTTATTTTATTAGATTATTTTATTTATATAGACTCACATAAGCTTCTATATTCTAAGTTAAAAATTTTTATATTATTTAATTTTTAAAGCTTTTTTATTGCTAATTTCTTAAATTCTTTGAGATTTGAAAAATCTCTTAGATTTTTAGTTTTTATAATCTGTAAATTATGTTACAGTTGGACGTATTACGCTACGCCATTCCAATCGAAAGCCCAAGTGATCTATACTTTAAATCTTATTATAATTCCTTACGGTATTATCGATTGGTCTTTAATGAATGTCTTAATGAACGGTGATGAATTATCCTATTTTCTGCTAGCAACTCTTGGGAATTTAATAGCTCATCAGATCGCTCATCATTTCGACACGAATGGTAAATGATTGTAATAATATAATTATATAAATACATCAAAATTTAATAAATCATTAATAACTGTTAATTTCTATGTTTTAATTCTTTGATTATTTGAATTTTTATAATCGTGTTTTCTTTGTAACAGGTATACATTATTGGAATCAAATAAGAAATGCTGAATATTCCTTGATGTTTGAAAACGAATTTACAAACAATCATTTCGATGATTATATCAATTGTCAAAAAGAGAATCTATACCAAGAACCTGTAAATATGACGTTACCCTTCACTGACCAGATCGTATCCTTTAGGGTAAGTTGAGTTGCTTAATCTTTAATTCACATGACTGGATCATGTGCATTAATTTTCTTTGAAATACTAGAAGCACCAAATATAATTAGTTATAATATCTATACACAAATTCTTTTAACACACAACCTTATAAATATTTTCTAAAAATGTTAAAATGTGTAAAAATCACTTGAAAATTTTTGTATACTTATAAAAATGATAAAAATTAATCGGAAAAATAAACGACCCTTCGTATAATAAAAATAAAGGATCGAAAAATTATTGTAAAGTGTCAAATTAAGGATTAATTCCATAATACATAATTCCCCTGATTGTGCTCTCCAAATACTTTGAAGTAAAATCTCACTCTAAAGAGTAAGAATTAAGCCAGTCTTGAAAAAAGTAGCTTGACTTTCAATCTTTAATTGGAGAAGGAATTGTAAAAAACGCTTTATATAGTAAAATTTAATAATGTACTTTTTTTGCGTAATGCTTGATTTATTGAATCGTTCGCAGACGCAAAATGTCGAAATTTATAAATATTCTAGATTCCGCGGTTGACCTTGAACGAGCGGTTGTCTGAAATGACAGGACTCAGACTAGCCTATGATACTTTGGCTCTTACGAAGTCGAATGCGAAGAGACTACCGTGGATACAACTCCGCATCGACCAGTTATTCTACCTCGCCTACGCTCAGGTACTGTTCTCACAGTTCGTTTTACATTAACAGCAGTTTCATTTTATGAGGTCCTCGATTCTCGTGGTATCCCGGAGAATCCTGCGGTTCTTGAATCTTTAAAAATTTTGGATGGTAATTCAATAATAAAATCGCGAAGATTCGCGAGGATTACGATTGATTCTATTCCTTCAAAACTTTGTCCATCATCGAGTTATAGATATCATTCCAGATATATAATTAATACTTATTAATGCTTTTACATTTCTATTGTTGCAGATGTATTGCACAAAAATGTCACTCACATCATTGTATGTCTCGTTGCACGAAAGCGAGGATCTACCTAGCCGAATCCGCGTGTTCGTTTCCGCATCAAACAACAAGTTCCTTGCCGAGGCGTGGAATTGTCCGCTCGGCTCACAGATTGCACCCAATGACATTTGCAACGTATTCCCATACATAGAGATCAGAGACCTCGATGATTCCGGAGTGAGAATTGCTCGCGGAAAAAATTGAATGGGCACCCGCGAATATTACGCTGTAGCAAATGAGTCAATCGGCATATAAAATTATTCGTGAAATGGATTAATCGATGGGCACAGAAACAAAACTCAGATTCATCCATCTTGCGAGATTCGTGTATGAACATTTTTAAGATGCGATCGATAATTAAGTTACGAAATCGAATTAGAAATATCAGTTTTATGCGGTTAATGCGTAAACCTGTCGAATTTTAAAATCTAAAAAAGAAGAAATTGGAGAACATATGTTTTGCTTCTGTATCTTTCAATACATAAAAGAGATTCTCATTTACGTACGATAAAAACGTGTGTCTTAAATTTACAAGCAATGCTTTGATGAATACGTTGCCGCAATTGTTTGCGCATTGTTTGCGAGATAACGTTGTAACTAACGGAGAGAAAAAAGTAAATGAACAACATAATCGCTGAATGAATATGAATCAATAAACAGTTTTTACGAAAAGTTCATATTGAACTTGTTTGAACGCCAAATTGAAGCATCCATGGATCAATAATAACAATATTTCTTCATTCATTCTGAGGAACAAAAGTAAAGGCGTAATTACAATACAGATTGCTGGTTATTGATTTTATTAGCTACATTATAATTTTATTATAATATTATTAGCTACATTATAATTATAATGTAGTGAATGTGGATTAACTACAATGATTGGCAAAATTGAATCGACAACCAGCAATCGACAACCGTAATCAGCAACCTGTAGTGTGATTACGGCATAACAGATTTGAAGACCACTCATATCACAAAGAATCGTCACATTAATCATTCATCCTCTTACATGCCATTGTCCTATTCGACTAGAAAGTGTAATTAGTGTCCTCAGTTCGCCATCAAGTGGTTTTGTTCACTATTCGTCTTATAGTTTCTTCTTGTCCAATTCCTCCACAGATTTTGTACGACGAGCCATGTTCCCTAAAATATATAAATATATTTGTAAATGACACAAAGATTATCGCTCCAATGTCAACTGAGTTGTGACATTTGATTAAGAATTCTTTCTAAGTCTCAATTGGAAAGCATAATAAATATAAAAAAAGGAAAAATATAAATATATAAAAACGTTGAAAAAAAAATAATTATAAAGAAATATTTAATCAAAAACTAATTTCTCTAATCTGATAATTTCTTAATAAAAAATAGTTTTAAATAATGCTTTATTATATTTTTATTACATTTTAGAATAAAAAAATCCAAGAACTTAAAAAGGTAGAGCTTTAAAAATTTTAGTTATTATTACAAAAATTAGAGTTAAAATATCAGAATCTAAGATTCGAAAATTTAATATTCAGAGATTTAAAATAATCTTAAAAGTTAAAAATTGTAAATAAAAGCATCCAGTCGTCATAAAAAATAATCCTGTGGTTTATTCAAATGATTAATTATATTTTTATTATTTTAAGTTACTGATAAAAATAAAATATTCGAGTTAGAGGATATTATACACGAACAAATCACAAACGAATTTCGGGATAATTGACAGTAACAGTGACAACAATGGCAATAGCAATAAACGATTAATCAAGTGTCGCAAATTCAGATTGTTGCAAACCATCAAGCGATTACACATCATATGATGCAGTCAATTAACACATACCGCTTACATCCGTGTCAAACTTGCTTAGATGGGAGACTGACCGTCTTATAGTGACTTTCTTTCCCGTCTGCAGCAATCAGCACCATGCATTTAAAGGAGCAACAAGAGTTAATTATAATAATTATTCGGCTATTGACGAACAATACTTATTTAAGTGACATATGAAATTGCTGTTTGCTCCAAAAAAAAAAAAGGATAAGACCTCGTATTAATTATATAGAAAATTATTATCATCCCGGAAGTAAATTAGTTTTCATACATACTGTAACATATAATGTGATAAAAACAAAAGATGTCAAACACAAAACTCAATAATGAATAGTTTTTCAGCTATAATATATCAAAGATGCTCCGAAAACAGTTATGACCATAAGTTTTATACTTCTGATATACCATAGCTCCAAATTATTCATTATTGAGCCTTGTGTCTATGAGATCTTATGTTCATTACATTACAAACTACATTAAATGTGAAAATTAAATCATTTCAGTAGAACCTAATTTTCTATATAATTAGTACGGGATCTTTTATATACGATACTTTCGTTCCAACTTATTATGCAATCATTATTCTTTTTCTCTGAGAGTAAAAATACTGTAGCAATATTTTTTTCTTAAATCTTATTTCTGGAAGTTTACAGACATTAAAATCTGAACGCGTTTGTATCTACCTCAAAGTACTGATGCCACAAAACACAGCCATAGACGCATAGAACGGAGACTAGAGATTGGCACAGTAGCCAAAGGAGGATATTGAGAGCTTGAGTGCGTTCGAACAAAGCTGCACCATGGCGTATGCACAGTAAAGCTTCTGTCACCATAATTGCCCCATAGACCCAACACTGAGTTCCCACTCGACTACACGTTGGATCAGTTACGTACATATAATACTGTCTGTAATTATAACATGTTCATAACAAATACTATCTCAACTGTACACTCAAATTTATATTAACATTTCTAAAAACTTATTAGATCAATTTGTTAATATGTACGAAAAAATTAGATTAGAAACTTTAAAGTATCCATTACATCCATTTTTATATCAGTATTAATTTAATTCATAAATGATATATACATATTATATAATACAATATATATATATATATTAATAATATATATTAATGTTATA